GGCCTTATTTCTGCCAATGCCTTTAGTGAAGAATGGGACACAGGGTCGTAAGGGTCTTTCTGAAAGGGCCAAACAGGGTGAGAATAACACAATCCCTCACCACCTCAGAACGGAAAGCAGGTAAAGAGCCCATAGACCAGCCCCACGTTGCCTTTAGAGACACACCAACAGCAAGAGGTTAATTTATTAATTGTTGACTCACAGACTTTTTATTCACAGTTGTGATACCGAGAGTGAGGTTTATTAGGGAAGTAAGTTGGAGGGGGGGGGGCAAAGAGCATCACCCAATGCACCAGGTTTTAGCACAGCCATCCCAAAGCACAATTCCTCAATTTGTCCAGGCTCTGGTTTGAGTTCAGCAGTCAGTTTTTCCTTTCATTATCAGTAAAAACTTTGAACTATGGTCTTCATCTCAGGTTCCTCTGGTTACAGCTTGCCACAATTTCTCCACCAACATTACCAGGGTCTCGCTCCAGGATCTCATTCTCAACAGGGCCTTGACATAATCTTCCTCAAGTCTTGCTGCTCAGTGTGGGAAGTGCTCCCTCTCTTATTCCAGTCCCATTGTTGCTGTTGATTGCCTTCGAGCTGAGCACAACTCATAGCCACCCTATGAACAAAAGGCCTGAAGCCTTTCTATAACTATCATTGTTTTTCAAAGGTCATAGAATTTCCAGAGACATCTTGTTTAGGAAGTGGATGCCACTCCTGCTTCCAAACCTGTCTAAAACTGGAAGCTCCATCAAACATTGTCCTCCACAGACACTGACATCTCAATGGCACAAGTTTCAGCTTTACAGCAATCCCAGATTACCTCAGTACAACATACTGACAGAAGAGTGTTGTACCACTAGCAGGACTCAATAACTAAGACAGTAGCTAAAATGATATCAAGTTCCACTCATCTGAAAACAAGATGATACTGAAAAGCAGACAATACTGAAAAACCCATAAAAAAACACATTACTCTTTACAAATACTTAATTTTTACTAAGATTATCTTTTAGAAAAATTAATTTAAATAAAATTATATTTCTTTTTAAAACCAGCTTCGGATGGGATAAAAGATCTCAGTTTCTCATATAAATGTTGTTGTTGTTATGTGCCGTCGAGTCGTTTTCGACTCATAGCGACCCTATGCACAACAGCCCTAAACCCTGCTCTATCCTGCGCCAACCGCACTGCCTCTGACACACCCATCCCGATTACCCCAGTCACCGAATCAATCCATCTCATAGAGGGTCTTCCCCTCCTGCGCTGTCCCTCCACCCTCCCAAGCATGATGTCCCTCTCCAAGGACCCGTCCCTTCTGTCAACATGTCCAAAGTATGTCAGACAAAGCCCCAGAATCCTTGCCTCCAAGGAGTAGCTTAGTTTAATCCTCTCCAAGATGAATCTGTTTGTTTCCCTGGCAGTCCATGGTACATTCAGTACTCTTCTCCAGCACCACAGCTCAAAAGCATCCACTCTCCTTCTGTCCTCCCTAGTCATTGTCCAACTCTCTGATGCATAACAAGCGATTGTAAATACCAAGGCCTGTATCAGGCGCACCTTAGTCTCCAGAGAGACACCGTTGTTCCTGAGTACTTTAGAGTGGTCCCTAACAGCAGACTTTCCCATCGCGATACGCTTTTTGATTTCCTGACTGCTGGTGCCAAGAGTGTTGACTGTGGAGCCGAGCAAACTGAAGCTGTGAACAATCTGAATCTCTTCGCCATCCATCCTAACGCTGCCAATTGGTCCAGTGGTGAGAATCTTTGTCTTCTTGACATTGAGCCTCAGTCCATACTGAAGGCTGCAGTCCTTGACCCTTCGCAGCAAGTGCATAAGGTCCTCCTCGGTTTCAGCAAGCAGGGTTGTGTCATCTGCATAACGCAGATTGTTAATAGATCTTCCACCAATCCTGATGCCACAATTCTCCTCATAGAGCCCAGCTTCTCGGATAATCTGCTCTGCATACATGTTGAAAAGGTATGGAGACAGGATACATCCCTTGCGTACACCCGTCCCAATTTTGAACCATGCAGTGTTACCCTGCTCTGTTCTGACTACTGCCTCTTGGTCCAAGTACAGGTTTCGCATTAGCACAATTAAATGTTCTGGGATTCCCATTCTTCTCAGAGTCAGCCACAGTTTGTTATGATCCACACAGTCAAATGTCTTTGCATAATCAATGAAACACAGATAGACATTCTTCTGGTGTTCTCTGCTTTCAGCCAAGATCCATCTAACATCAGCAACAATATCCCTAGTACCACGACCCCTTCTAAACCCAGCCTGGACTTCCGGCAGTTCTCTGCTGATGTGCTGTTCTAATCATTTTTGGATTATCTTCAGCAGAATCTTGCTTGCATGTGAAATCAATGACACTGTTCTGTAGTTTCTACACTCAGACTCAGCTGGGTCACCTTTCTTTGGAATGGGAACAAATATAGATCTCTTCCAGTCAGTTGGCCAAGTGGTAATTAATCACTGTAATTAGCCTCATGGCTATTGATAATCTGCAAGATCATGTATCTGCACTTAAGGTAGCTGGAGACCAGAGCGGGCTAAGGTAATGGCTAAAAAAGCCAACTTTAAGCTAATACTGTAACTACTTTCCAAAATGGTTCAGGATCAGCCAATTCTTTTTGGTACAGAAATTCAGTGTATTCTTTCCATATTTTTTTTAAATTCTTTTATAATTTTATTGTGTGTGTGTGTGTGTGTGTGTGTGTGTGTGTGCGCGCGCACTATCAAATAGGATCTGACTGGCACAGTCCATCTTATTTTGATGTTTGCATCATTATTTATTATTTTGCCCATAGAATTCTTCAGTATTGCAACTTGAGTGCTAAATATACACAAGCTTTTCCCCATGCCCTTAACCTAACCTAGACATACTCTTAACAATTTTCTTTTTCTGAGACATACTTGGAAAGCTCACATCCCCTGTCTCTTATATACTTATTCACTCATTGCTGTAGAGTCAGAAATTAGTCATGTGACCTTCCTGCAGATTTGTTGAGTCAGAAATTAGTCATGTGACCTTCCTGCAGATTTGTTGAGTCAGAAATTAGTCATGTGACCTTCCTGCAGATTTTCACAGGTTGTATAGCACACAGACTGCCCATCATTCTACCCTGGAGCAGCTGTTGATTTGAACTACCTTCCTGTGGGTTGGCAGTACAAATCCATACCCACTAGGCCACCAGAGATCCTTATCATATCTACTGTGTTGTTGTTGTTGATTGCCATCAAATCAAGCACAACTCATAGTGACCCTATGAACAGAAGACCTGAAGGCTTTCTATAACTATCATCATTTCTCAAAGTTCATAAGAGTTTTTAGAGTCATGTTGTTTAGGAAGTGGATGCTGTTCCTGCTTCCATCATATATACCACATACTAAATCTACTTTTTCATTTCAACCAGATTCCAAGATTGGTTTCTCCAGTGGCAAGCAACAGAACCACTCCTTGCAGTACACTATTAATACAGCTGGACAGGAAGAAATATTCCCTATATTTATCATAAGTCTTATATCAAGAAGTCTTAATGCTATTTTTTAAAAAAGGACAATGCTTAAATTGAGAAAAAAAATCTCTAAGAGTTTTACTATATGATTCAATTTATGTAACTTTTTTTATTAAACTGACACACTTACTACTGCTTTAAGAAGGCACTCTAACATTTTTAAAATTACTTTATTTTATAAAGAATAGATTTATGATGGGGATGGTGACAGTTCCCGTGGTGATGGAAATGCTTCTATAAATTGCAGCAATAGATACTACTCGTGATAAATCAGAATCAAATATAAATATGCACACACACACACCAGTACAAGCAATACTGTCTTTAAGATTAGTGGTGTAAAGAAAGCAGATACAATGTGAGGATGGCCGAGTTCTACCTGCTTCATAAAGGAACTGTCCCTTAATAACATCCACAGCAGTAAACAGCTAGTAGGTCAGACACATTGTCCTCCCTGCTCCTGCACCTTTTTCTATCAATCATAGAGATCTGATACTCATCATTGACTCATACTTTACTCACACTTGTGGTACCTAGAGTGGGGTTTTTTAGGGAAATATTCTGGAGAGTGGAAGAGGCAAAAAAATATCACCCAATGCAAACCCAAGTTTTAGCCTAGTAGTCCCAAGGTATAATTCTCAATGAGTCCAGGCTCCAGTTAGCCTTTTTTTTAACTTTATTTTATTATTTTTTGTGTGAGTGTACCGTCAAATCAGATCTTACTGGTACAGGAGGGGATTGTCCCTCCTTCCCCAGCAGAGCATCTGGTGGATTTGAACTGTGCGCCTCTGGGATTGTAGTTGCAGCTCCTTGCCACTAGGCCACAAGCGCTCCCCTTCCAGTTAGCTTTTTCTTAAATCATCTGGCAAGAACAGCAAAAACCTTGAACTGTGGCCTTTATCTCAGGGTTCCTGATTACACCTTGCCACAGTTTCTGCAGGGCAATGCCACAGTCTCTCCATCACCATCATCCGGCTCTCACTCTCAACAGGGTCTTTTCCCAGACTCCCTCAAGTCTTGCTACCCAGTGTGACAAGAGCTTTCTACCTCTTATCCTAGTCCTGCAGCTGTTGATAATTTGCAAAACCATTTGTCTGCAGTTAAGACAGCTGGAAAACAAGAGGAGGCTAATGTAATGGCTGAAAAAGCCAACTTTAGGATAGTACCACAAATGGATTATATCAACATTAATCATATACTGCCCTTCACATTTAATGAGTTTCTGGTATTTGCTCTTGCCTACCACGAACATGGGCTAAGACTCCATCATATATAAACCAACTTTTACAATGTTTATTATAATGATATCTATAAAGAACATTCAAATATTATTAAACTAATATTTTTTAAAGTCATTCCTAAGAAAGAATATCTGGCTACAACTCTTTCAGAGAAAATTAAAATTAAATACCTTTACATCTTCCTTTTAGACACTTACCTGTATTCTTCCTTGCCTTTTGGCAGAAGCAAACCCTGAAGCTCTACCATAAAGTTCTCATGCAATAAACAAAAGGCAACAGGAATGCTAGAGAAAATAAAAATTAAAATTCTTTATTTTATGAGACAAGGAATAAAAATCAACATCCTAAAACACAAACTATGTGTTTTAAAAGCAAGTCCATGCATGATTTACACATTCTTAAGTCCCTGTGCATTCCTCTGGTACAGGATCATAGCTTTCACTCTCCCTTTACTACCTCAGAGCATGATAATGAGTCTATCATTTCTTGATGACTTTTCAAAAAGTTTGAAACCACTCCTAAACTTCTACACTATGATACCAGCAATGGCTGAAGTCCAGAAGGCTGACTTCCTCTAAGTTCTCTTATCCTTTTTTCTTTACTAAACTGTCAGCAGTCATTAAGCAATACTATTTCTACCTCCAACAACACATTTTACTAATTTGCTCCATGTTTGGCATAAATAAATCTTAAATTCCCCCTTCACATGTTATTATAAAAATAATTTATTATCTTTAACATTTCAGAACAGACAAGTTTGAGTGAAGGTCTGTAACACCTCATTTATTTTTGCTTATATTTAGATATCTATATCTATAGTTGTTGATGTGTACCATAGAGTCGAAACTGACCCATATTAATACTGATAGTCCAAAGAAGTATGTTAATGTAGGGATTAGATCACTATTAATACTTAGTTAAGGTAAACATAAAATTTGAGCTAGGAAAGAAATTAATGAAATTAGAAAATAGAAAACCTTCATGTAACATTTGCATGGACCCTTCCAAAGACTTTGACACTCAAAAACTCATTTTGCATTTAATGAAACTGAATCCCAATATTTCCTTTCAAATGAGAAAAATAACTTACTGGAAAACTAAGAAAATGGTCTTTTCTATAAGTTTCTAGGTCTGAAAAAGGATGCAGTCTTTCACTTAGTTTCAAAGCATTACACACAAATCACCTAAACCCAAAGGAGAAACATGTAAAGTCGCGAGATACATAAAGAACTTTATTCTCTAGCAGATACTAAGTTCATGCCTTATGTATGAAAAAGAAATACTTTTAAAATGAAGCTCAGCTGAATAAAAGCAGAAAGAATGTCGACTGTGACAGTTTTTAAATTCACATATGCTCTAAAATGTGAGAGTAATAACTTTTATCACTTTAGAAAGGACACAACGTATCTGGGCCTCAGCTTTCCATCCTGTAAATGTAAATACAAGTCTTTTAAGTTTCTTTGAGATTTAATCCCTACAGTAACATGATTCTTTGGACTGATTTAATCCCTACAGTAACATGATTCTTTGGACTATCAGTCTTTTTGTGCAGAAAAACCTCATTGCTGTTAAGTCTTAACTGACTCATAACCGATCTTCCATTGGGTTTCCGAGGCTATAAATTTCCTATGGGAGAAGATTGCTCATCTTTCTGCCCTGGAGCCACGGATGGCTTTGAACCACCGGAGAAGTGTGGTATGGATTAGTAGTGCAACCCTCTGTGGCCTAGGCCACCAGAGTTCCCTAACCACTTAATTACAGTAGTTAAAAAGGAGGAGCTAGGGTTGACAATCTGATCACTTTAAAAGTTAGTAACTTTAAAACGCTGAAAACAGGTTCAGCTTGAGGGTAGCGGCTTGTGTTTTGTTGCTGTTGATTTTATGCTTGAGTGTATTCTTTATTTTATGAGATAGCAAGTCCAAATAGGTAAAAGACTGATAGGTGAAGAGAAACCAAAGTAAGAGGAAACAATGGTACCCAAATGTTGCCAGATTCACCATGTAACATGTGCGGGGCCAGGGTGGTAGTGGCAGTGTGGAGATCTGCCGCTCAGAGAGAGAAAGTGATCAGACTGGTGTTACTCAGCAAGGAGTGCCAGGGAAGGAAGGGCTCAGCTGTGGCGAACTCGCGATACAACCATGGGATTTCCAACTGCATAGAGGGCTACAAACCCAGGACGCTACCACTCCCAGTCTCTGAGGCCGGAAGCTCTTTCTGCAAGATCCCTGGAGTATAGGGCGCCGAGCTCCACTCAAGACCTACTTCGTGGCCTGAACGAATCCGCATGCGTCCGCCGGACATATATAGAAGCTTTTTCCTTTATTTGGACCATCGCGGACGCCAGTCTTCAGCAAACAGAAGACACCTAAGGAAAGAAAGAAAAAAGCCAATCAGGCCGCTGGTAGACTGGCAGACTCGAGGGAGCCCGCCGGGACCCCACCCCGCGGCTCTGGCTCCTTACCGTGTTCGGGGCACCTAACTACTTCCATCACTCGTGTCTCCCAACGCTGGGTTTGCAACCAGTTTCCGCCTCTTACTCCTCCCTTATTATTTAGGAGCCAATTATCACTCACCTCCTGTAGTCTTCATCCCCACAATTCACTTCCCATGCTCTTACTTCCCACCCTACCTATTATCAGCCAATCACATGGGAAATATCGCTAAATTTCAACCAATCAAACAGCCCTCAAGCATCGCGCGCGCCACACTCAAAAAGGAGGTGAGGGGGCGTGACAGATCTGGTGCCTGGTGGGGCGTGGCTGAGGCTGAAATGGGAGTTAACTGGCCGGTCCCGCTTCCGGCCGAAGGGAAACTTGGGTTTGAGTCTAGGTTAGAGTTGGTTGCGTTGTATTTTAAGTTCGTGAGGTGGCCCTGTGGGAAGCACGAGTTACAATTGCAGAAAGCAGACTTTTCTTCTTGAGACTAAGAACGCCTCTAGGTTTTGCAGCATTCAAGAAGCCAGGGCTTGGCGCTTGTGGGTTCTCACTTTGCTTTTGCGCTGTCTCTCTGGTACGGGGATGTCTGGAGGAGAACTCCCTTACTTGTTGGAGGATCCACGAAACTTGCGGTGCTGGAGTGTGTTTAAAGCTATGGTTAATTGTTATTGTGTATATTTGAGTCGGAACCGAACTGTAAGAGAGGACTGCTCTTCTTTCTCCAGCGGCACAGAGGTGGATTCGAACCTCGTTCCTTTCGGTTGACAGTGCAACTCAGTCTTAACTCATGAGTAACACTACACCACCAAAAGGGAGCCAGGAAGCTGCGCTGCCATCCCGAAGGCCACGAGCTGCTGCTGGGGGTGGGGGGCTAAGGGAGGGAAGGGGCGGGGCGAGGATGGGCAGTCTCCTGTGTGATTTACTGCCTCTGAAAACCCTGTCTGTTGCCACTTTACAGTACACAGCAACAACATGCCCACAGTATGTGAAGCAGAGCTGTGCTATCCTTTCCTCTAAGGAGCCCTCAGGCCGCACCTTGTCCAAGACATATCTTTTCCCCCCCCCTTTTCTTTTGGCAATTATTGGGATATTCATTATTCTTTTCTAACATCACAGCTTAAAGGCATCAATTCTTCTTCAGTCATGCTTATTCATTTTCCAGCTCTCAGATGGATAGCAGATGATTGGAAAAACCATTACTTGAATCAGGCACTCCTTAGTCTTTAACTTGACATCATTGCCCTTCAGAACTTTGGAGAGATCCCTGACAGTAGACTTCCCAGTGTTATGTTGTTATTACTGATTGCCTTCAAGTCGAGCATGACTCATAGCGACCCTATGAACAAAAGGCCTGAAGCCCCTCTATAACTATCGACATTTATCAAAGTTCATAGAGTTTCTGGAGGCATGTTATTTAGGAAGTGGATGCCACTCCTGCTTCCAATTCCCGTGTTATACCTCCTCATCTCTTGAGTGATGGTACCAAGGATGTTGGTTGTGAATCCAAGTAAGGAAATCTGTTGGCTCAGTATTAAGGATTTGCACTGCCAAAGCAAAGACCCTTGGTTGAATCCACTAGCTGCTCCACAAGAGAAAGATGAACGATATGCGATTTAGTGCCAGTGAAAACCAACTGAAGGATCAGCTACGAGTTTGTTCTGTGTCGAATCCACATTGTCCGAAATGCTTGACCTGCTTTGTAAGTCCATAATTTTCAACATCAACAGCCCCTCCTTTGTTCTGTTTCCTAGCTTCTCTATGTCCCTTGGGTTTGGTGGTTTTTTGGAAGTTCTCCCAGAGACTCAGACCATCAGAGAACCCATGTGACTGTAGGTATGCGAGCCAGTGAAAATTGTGGTGCATCCATTGAAGACATGCATTCCAAGATGAATAGAGCTAACACTGAGGTCCCGTGACTTATATAAGCCTCTAATAGGGTTGGGCTGGTATCCTATCCTAATCCCCTTTCAATAAATACTGAGCACAGTTAATTGTTGGCTAGGAAAGACATTTTTAATGACAAACCTTAGACACCTCGAAATGGTGAAGCTTTATTTCACGTACTTTGGGTATGTCCTTAGGAAAGGCTATTCCCTGGTAAAGGACATCATGCTTGTAAAGATGAAGAGCCAGTGAAAGGAATACTTTCAATGTGATGGACTGACACACTGGCTGAAGCTATGGAATAAAATATATATCAGGGATGATAAGGATAGGACAGGGCTCAGGTCTCTTGTTGATAGGATTGCTTTGAGTCATACTCAATGGCATTTAACAAAAATATGAAACAAGTTTGAGTGGCTTGCCTAAAGTCATAGAGTCATTAAATGGCAGGCCTATGGACAGGTACACAACTTTTAATCTAGGCTCAGTGCCATTTGGACCAGGCAACTGCCACCTGTAGCTACTAGATGCTCTTACTGCACACTTTTGTATAGAAGCTGTGAGTTACTCATCAAGGTGGAAATAGCAGGGAAAATAGAACAACTGTAGAGGATGGAATTTCACATAGTACATTTTGTACTGTCAAACCTTTTCTACTAGTTTTCTTTTATAATTTTAAAAATCCAGGATAATGTTAAAGGAAAGAAGTTTTACTTGAAATCATAACAGGTTAGCAAGGTGGGAGACAGGTAGAAACCCAAGATTGATTGCAACAGATGTTTCTTCATGTTACAGCTACTGAGAACCACATGCCTGGACATATGGTGGGGCACCTGCAACTGTAGTCGAGATAGGGAATCTGGACTGTGTGATAATGATAGATGTGTCACAGGGCACCAGAGGAGGGACCGGAAACCTCTGTTATCAGTCATTAATGAAAGTATTTAACAACTTATTGTGTGAGGTGGGATAGATGCTTGAGAAATATGGTTCATTTATTTACTTCTCTGTGTGTCACACACATACACATATGCACATACACATACACATACACACACGCATAGGGAGTTGTGCTTTTAACAAAAATCCTGTGCCTCTGGTGATTTGAATATACCAGTGGCTCAATGAGATACAGGTGGACAATCTTCTATGCAATTCACATCCTTGTTAACCAGAAATAGGGTATGTGTTGACCCCAACTCATTGGCAATGAGAGTGAGAAATTCTAACTACAAGAAGCTTATTTAACAATTGGAAGAATTTGAACTAGCACATATTGAACATTTAAATAACAAAGTACTATTTAAATGTCAAGATGAATAGCTTTACAAGTATATTTTGTAGGATTAGAGAAATATTGAGCCTGGAATTTCCAAGAGGAAGTTGGCCTATCACCACACTTCTGATCTATCACCACACTTCTGAAGAACGCATAGATACCCTTAGAAATAAGACAGGAGCAAAAAAGAAGCAAGCATAGGTATTGTCAATATTCTCAGATTGCAATTCTTGCAGTATGAGATTTTTATGGTGGTGTTGAGTACCATGAAGTTGGAACAAACCCGTAGATGACCTTCTAGCTGGTTTTCAGAGACAGTAAACCACACGGGAGGGGATTTCTGATAGTCTACACAGCAAAACATCTATTCAACAGTTCTACATATTTGATTCAGTGACATTGATTACATTCTTTAAATTGTGAGCTAATTATAATTTTCTTTTTCTGACTAATTTCTCTGCGTTAACATAAATTCACTGCCCCACTGGGATTTTATGTACATTTTATTCTAACTAAACCCACTTCTATTTAGTAGATTCTAAATCACAGCCATCCTGTAGTACAAAGTACAACTGCCTTATTGGTGTCCAAGGCTATAAATCTTTTTGGAAACAGACTGTCTTGTCTTTCTCCCCTCAATTGACTGTAGATGGGTGCTGCATACCTTTTAGCTAGCATCCTAATGCTTCAGTTGCTGTGCCACCACACCTTTTGTATTATTGCTGTTGTTGGGTGCCATTGAGTACAACTCATGACGACCCAATGAACAATTGATTTGAATACTACCCAATCCTGTGCCATCCTCATCTTTTCTGATATACATAAGTCTATTGTTAAAGTCATTGTGTCAGTCTATCTGGTTGAGGGTCATCCTCTCTTGCTGACCTACCACCTTTCCAGGCAGGATGTCCTTTGCCAAGGAATAACAAGATGCCCAAAATAGGGGAGACAAAGCTTTATCATCTTTACCTCAAAGGAGCACCCTGGCTACACTTTCTCCAAGGCATATCTGTTCTTTTGTCAGTCTTTGGAATATTTAGTACTCTTCTCCAACACTACATCTCAAAGGCTTTAATTTTACTCCTATCATCTTTATTCATTGTCCAGCTTTCAGATACAAACCAAATTATTGAAAAAGACCGTGAGCCAGTTCACCAAAGAAGACATTCAGATAGCGAACAAACACATGAAAAAAATGTTAAAAATCCATAGCTCTAAGAGAGTTGCAAATAAAAACAATTATGAAATATCATCTCACCCCAGTAAGAATAGCAAAATTTAACAGAGCAGCAAACAACAAATGTTGCAAGGTTGTGGAGAAACTGGAACCCTTATTCACTGTTGATGGGAATGTAAAATGGTGCAACCACCATGGACGGCTATATGGCACTTTCTCAAAAAGTTGGAAATATAAATAGTATTTGACCCAGCAATTCCACTACTGAGAATATACCCTAAAGAAATCAGAACTGCCACCTAAGCAGATATATTCACACCCATGTTTATTGCTGCTTTGTTCACAATAGCAAAGAGTTGGAAACAACCCAAGTGCCTATCAACAAACGAATGGATAGAGAAGCTGTGGTATAGTCACACAATGGAATATCATATAGCACTAAAAACAAAGACCTCATGAAATATACGAAATGGGTGACTATGGAGGACATTATGCTGAATGGAAATATCTCAGTAACAAAAAGACAAATACTATATAATGAACTGTTATAGAACGGGGCTGATATGGGGGTTGGGGTAAACTAAGAAAAGAGGGGATAAATAATGTACCTGGCATTGAAACAGACAAAGGAGAGAACTGTATGAAAGAATTATATGATTGGGTATTATTGGCATGACAAGAGTCCAGAATAAGCATTGCATAGTAAAGTGGTGG